GCCGCTGCTGCGTTATTCATTCAAAATATTAGAGAAATATAGAAGCTCAATGCGGAGAAGATCTTGATTAGGTGAAAACCAAAACCAAGTCATTCACACAGATGCATATTCGGTGCATTTTCTAGACGGACAGATATGACTGCTGCACAAGAAATGTAGCCATGCAAAGTTAAAACAGTTTAAACTTTTAGAAAACACGTTGTGAATTTGTGGAGGTTTATTCCTTTTCACTGCGTCTCTTATGTTTTTGTCTCTTATGTTTATGTCTGTGTGAATGTCGCTTCGGCTCTTTGTATTAAGCAATGCATAAATGATGCTGTTTTGTTCATAACCATTTATGCAATTTATGAAATCATATTTGATTTATATGAGTTAATTTAGATGTAATGCAGGTTTTTTTATAGACATTTATTTCCTTGCGTTGACAATTTAAATGAGCTGCATTATTTTGCTCATTGCACGCTCCTGTGGGCTCGGGAGACAAGACAAAAGTTTCCTTAAGACCTATTTAATCTGCATATAAAACATTAGAAATTAGATATTTGTTTAATTTGTATTGTGTGTTTGACTGTTAAAACAAAAAAATATGTGTTGTTTGTCTATATAAATTGTTAATTTTAAAATTGGTTAAATTGAAAAGAAAAATTCTATTGCTCTTTGTTTTACAGAAGGTTATAAAAATGTCAATAATTATCGATACCGAACGACATGAAACATTATATTGTTTATAAATGTTTTAGCTATATCGCCCAGCCCTAGTGTCACCCACCCTTCAGAGGGCGAACGCCAACTGTCCCCCTCCTTTCACAGATTAAACGTTAGCTTGACTTAGTGCCTGTCACGACAGCAGCTCCTCCTTCATGCCAGCCAAAACTGTTTTGGACTTTTTGCCTCTTTAACTGTTAAGAATAATACAGAACGTAGAGGAAATGAATGGGACTTGCAAACGGCACAAGCTAGATTTGAATTTGCAATGCTCACATGACTGCCACAACATAGAGAAAATGTGCTAAATGACAGTCCTAAATGTGCTAAATGTGCTAACATAATTTTGAATATAGTACTGCAGAAACTGACTTTCTTTCAACCAGTAATTAAACCTAACTTCAGCATCAGATTGGGAATGAAAAACTTTGGGATAAATTGTTTTAAGCACAAAAATTAGATGATGTAATTAGATGATTTAATGATTAATGATTTACCGGATTAATAAGTCTCTCTTAGCCCAAGACTAGAGAGCGCTATAGACCGCTCCACACGGTCTGACGGGGTTATCGGGGTCTGGCGTACTGATCCACATTCCCACCGCAGCCCAAGAACTGGAAGAGTACACTATAATTACAGGCTTTCCACATGCTGCAGTTATTTAGCATGCTAATAAAGGACAAAGCTGACTTCTCAGAAGTATTACAGGTAAAAAAGTGAGAGTTTTGGGAAAACGTTTAGCTTTTATGACTCTAATCCTGCAAAAATGTGACTTCTTACTAATTGAACTAGTCTTTTTTGACTTATTTTCCAGTTAAAATATCTAAAAAAAAAAAAAAAAGAGAGAGAGAGAGAGAGAAATCCCTACAAGATAGACTACTGTTCAAAAGTTTGGAATGGTAAGATTGTTTTTGAAAGACGTCTCTTCTGCTCACCAAGGCTGCATTTATTTGATCAAAAATACAGTAAAAACACAAAAATTCAGAAATTTTATTGCAATTTAAAATAACTGTGTTCTATTTGAATATATTTTTAAAATGTAATTTATTCCTGTGATGCAAAGCTGAATTTTCAGCATCATTACTGCAGTCTTCACTGTCACACGATCCTTCAGAAATCATTCTGATATGCAGGTTTGCTACTCAAGAACATTTCTATTTATTATCAATACTGAAAACAGTTGTGCTGCTTAATATTTTTGTACAAACCTTTTTTTTTTGTATTTGTTAATAAACTGAAAAATCCCAAAATTTTTGTCTACATTATAAATGTCTTCACCGTCACTTTTAATCAATTTTAAGCATTTTTAAACTGGAAACCCAGTAAAAATACTTAAGTAAAGTTACAACCCCAACTAATCGAACCTGTTTCACACTGCAAGTAGTCGTAACAATAAAAAGACACATAACCGCCCATCAATCTTTTAACAATCTCACATTGTCATTTATGCGGGTCCTTAAACTCCCTTTTCTTTGATTGCCATTTTACAGCTGTTTTTAGAGTGCGAGAAAACCTTCAACAGACACGTCTGTCATCCTTAAAGACGCAGCCTGATACTACGCATTACGCCACGCGTGGCCCGGAGCCATCGGGGTCAACAGTGAGCTCTTCCGGATAAAGCCAGTCCCATCTTTTCTTACATTCCTCTCTCTCATTCTTTGTTCCTGTGCGAGTCATTATACTCTAACAAAGCGTGACACATGAAGCACTATAAGCCTCTGAGTTTTATATTGAAAAGAAAAGGGGCAAAATCCAACTTTAGGGACATACACAGGGCATACAAAGCAGAACGAATGTCCGGATTGACCCATTTTACCTCAGCGCGTCGCACAGAGCCTCTACTGTACGTGAAGTTAATAATAAACCAGCAACAGATCTGTGCTAAGCGTCGTTGCCTGGCCAAACACGGCTTGTTGAAATTCGGATTAGATTTACGGTCCGCCGGGTATTGGGCGATCGTAAAAGCGGGATTATTAAAATAACTTTAGAAAAAGGAAAGATTGTGTACACAGTGTTCTTGTAAGAGCAGGCTAGGCAGAGCAAACACATTTTGAGGTCTTAACTTCCTTTTCGGCGGTTTTCTTGGCAAACAGCAGGTCTGACATTCCTGGTGTCAGTCTGAATAAGTAGGTGAGTGTTGATATCCGAGAGGTGATAGATTTCTCTCTGCCTCCGACACTGACTGTCTAGTTTTGGATGGAAAAGGGGAGTTTAGGCAGGAATTCTACTACCTTCCTGTCGCAAATTTCCATCATGTTTGCCTGAATGGGGTAATTACATGCGTGGCGGCGGGGCAGGGGGCGGAGGGAGCGGACAGGCAGTGAGGGTTTTGAGCTTTGCCACTGTGTCATTATGGTCCTGTTTGAACCTTATTCAGAATAAGCAGCCCGAAGGGTTTGCGGCCAAACAGCCCGAGCTTTTCCTCATGTCGGGCCAAGTCGCCCGCCTGCCCGCCCGCCCGCCAAACCTCTTGTTTTCATTCTTGCAAAAAAAAAGAAAAAGAAAAAATAAGGCCTCCAGAACAAATAACATACAGTTACAGTCACCCACTGCTTGATATACCGCATTATATATTCTCACTTTTTTGTCTCTGAGCTCACATACGAGGGTTGTCCCGGTCCGTTTCCACACGCTCTCCATCCTTGTACCACTCCACGGTGGGGGTGGGTCGCCCCTCTGCCTTGCAGTTTAGGGTGGCCGGTTCGCCCTTGGATACGATCAGGTCAGAGGGGTGCTCCACAATGCGGGGTGCGTAGTCTTCCTGCCGCAGACGGGATCCTGGGAAAAAAGTGAGATGTTTGATTAAATAACATTTAACATGAGTTTTTCCTAATATAATTTTATTTAGAAAAAAAATTATATTAAGAAAATGGAAATGTACTTAATATAAAATATTATAATCCAATATTAAGCGTATTATAATAAAATATTATTATTAATAATAATAATAATAATTATTATTATTATTATTAAAAAGGCCAAACTAACAAAACACTTTAAAGACACCCAGATCAAATGAAAGAGTTCAAGCAGGTAAGTTTCATTTACATTTTTTGTATTTGTTTTTCCCATACTTTGATTTATTTGTGGCGGCCGCCATATCAAAACAGACTGCCACAAATATATTTTTCAAAAGGCTTTTACTTCGTTGAATAAACATGAGCGCTGCACGTTTCAAAATCAAAACGCGGCATGGGTGTTTTTATTCACTGTATTCCTGAAGGAAATAAATACGACTGTCTTTAGACAAATTTCCCATAAGACCTGGTTTATATGCAAATGAGGCTTGCATCTTTAATGCCTAACGGCTACAATATAGTGTGTGTGCATCTCAACACTGCCCTTTGGAGTCCATTCAGCCCCAATTAAAAAGAGCTAGGATTAATTGGCAGTACAGGGTCAAAATTCATTCATCCAACCCCCAACCCACCGGCTTTTCACTCTCTTTTCATCCCATCCCCCGTTCCTTACATCCAACTATCCCTCCCTCCGGCCCTTCTGCGGAAGGAGAGCTCCATAAGACAGCGTCTATGAGCATTAAATCATCCCCACCATCAGCCAGAGTTTGCGCGAGGTAATGCATTCATTGATTTGCATGTTGCGGAGAAGAGCGGTTGGCTCTCGTGTTTACAGTACGTGTAAATATGTAATGGGAAGATAATGAGCTGTGCTTTCTGACGCATATGAACACACTGCAGGCCCGCAGGACGATACACTACCAGTACATTTCTGCAAACAACACAGAGCGAATGCATAATGGCTATTGTCTGCTAACAGCCATGTGGAAGTATTGTTTATGTACAGAAATTACCTGATATTGTATAAACAAAAGTACTATTATTATCATTAGTCTAAATCCATAGAATTAATAAGATCAAATATTATATATAGACGTTTCATGGTCTAAACATGAAAATCTGTGTTTTTATGCACACAATACATAGTGTATAGCTTAAAAAAAACATTGTTAATTAAATAAAATTACCAAACAGAAAGTAAAAAAATAAAACAGTTCAATATTTGGCCACTTTATATTTTCAGCATTGACTTAAAAACACAGTAGCTATGCTAATATTGATTTTATATACATTTTCACACTGATGCAGAATGCACAAGGACATTTTCCATTATTTTAAAAAGCATTTTATGTCAATATTTGATTAAATGTTGCATCCAATAAGTGTTTTGTAGCAATCCAATAAGTGTTCAATCCAATAAGCGTTCATTATATATATGTGGGCAGTATATCAGCCACCTCTCATTCTCTAGATATAAGCTTCAGTATTGGCTATTGAAAAACCCAATTTGTTTGCCTATAATAAAAAGGATGAATATTAAAGAATGGTGACAGAAGAGGAGATTTATAATAGAGTAAGAAAAAATAATGAGGAAGAAAATGGCTCAGGGTAATCTCTGATGGAGCGTCCGCATATTAAGTCAACCTGTTCAGGTTCCATTCTTCCATCCTGTTAGAGCAGTCTGACTTCATCTATGCTGGCTGCATACGCTTAGAGAAGTATCCAGTTGGAGAGAAGGAAGACTACCCTCCTCCTCCTCCTCCTGAGGTGCTCATGAGTCCACTCACAAAGTCAGAAGACCTCGCTACATGCAATATTCCCACTGCACTTTGAAATGCAGAAGCCCTGCTCTCGCTCTCGGCAGACCAGCCGTACTTCTATCTTTTATTTATTTTTTTATACGATGGAGCGCTGCATATGCTCAGTAATGAGAGGTACTGCTGAGGGCGGCGCCACGTTACACGGTGAAGTATATTTCAAATGTACATGCTGTGAACGAGACAAAAATGCAAAGAAAGAATGAAAAGAATAAAAGAAAAAGAAAGGGCATCTACTGTATAACTCAGTCTCTCTTCGTGGATAATAAATAAAAGCAGCTGTGTTTCTAGTATTTCTTTCTCAGCACTCTGCTGACTCTTTTCATCTGTTTATTTCCACATCTGACTGTTTTCTTCCTTTTGCTTGTCCACTGCTTTTGGTCTCCTGTAGCCTTTCTTTTTCCCCCCTCTCTTTTTTTTCCATGCTCTTTCCTCCTGTGCTCTTTCCTGTTCTCTGAGAATATGAGATGAGCTAATCAGCTCCACGGGCTCAGCGGAGGGACGCTGGGATTTCTGCATCTAAGATCTGATCGATCGCTGCCTAGGGCAAGAATCATTTTCCTCCTCTCAGACTGACACACACATTCACACACACACACAAACATACATACACATGAAGTACACTCAATATGTGAGGCTGTATCAGTCTCGCTATCCTTCTATCACTCCACTTTTCCTCATCGGGTGGAGGGAAGCCACTAGAGGTTTGCATTGGAGCTAATTAAGGGGAGAGGTAACTTCGGACAGGGGATTTAACACAAGCCTGAAAATCCCTTACTCTGCTTGATTTGATTCAAACATAAAAATGCTGTCAGGCAATCCTACTACTGCAAAAAATCATATATATATATATATATATATATATATATATATACA